TATCTTCCAGGCAAGAAGAAAAGTGCTGCATATGGAACAGCAATATGCCACCTGCATTGGCAAGATCCGCAACACCATGGTGGCGTGCATCAACAGTATCTATGTCTGACATATAAACTGCAATCGCAAACAAGACACAGCCATCTACATGTGCAGTCGCACAACACACCAAGACAAATATCACAGCACAGTGGGAGCCCACCATTTGAATTCAGTGGTCCATCGCCTATCGTAAAGCGAACATCAGGAGGCATGCAGAACCCGAGCTCCACGTCTCTATCCGGATCCACCACCAGATCGGCTGACTCCATCCACTTTTCTACTTTGCTCGTTGACGTGCAGATGAGGCTGTGGGGCGACATCTCCACTTTCCGGTTCTCCTTGCGCTGTCCCTTTCGAAGATCGCACACACTGCTGTCTCCTGGTAAGGACAGGGGTATCCACGGGAGGCATGGGCAGCATGCAGCTGGGCATACCAAGGCGCCCTAGGCAAAGCAGGACCTAAGGGTGTGATTGAATGCATCCTCAACAGAGTAAATGTTGGTACTGCTGTGGTGAATGCAGTCGCCTTGCTTCTTAGTTTCGGGCATTTATACCTCATTTGATAGGTCGACTGTTGCCATGCACTGCAGAAAACTCAGCTCAGGAACGAATGATCACAGATGGACGGACTGTAGTTTCACACAAGCTCCCCTGGGATATTCTCCCGTCTTTTTCCGCACTGGGCAGATGGCAGTGCGCGAAACAATAATCACTGGACATTGGGAGTGACCTGATGTCCACTGTCGCATGCATGTCACAAGGGCTTCGTTTGTCACGTCCATTTGACAAGTGCAGTTAACACGATCATGCCAGGTGTTCATTCAAAATGAAGCATCGAGGGCCTGGCCCACCCAGTCAGGGTCTGCAAGACTGGCAACTGGCAACTCACGACTCAGTGGATGCCCTTAACACTACAAGCTTATCCTGGTTCAACAATCCTCAGGAGAAAGGAACTGACGGCTGTTCACCACTGGGGAACAGCCGGGCACCTGCAATAAAGGAACTTGCATAACTGCTGGCTGTGAGAGTCTCGAGCTTACCCAGTCTGCCCATTCCATCCAATCTTCAGCATCAGCCCTTAGTCTCCTCAGCGAGCCCTGGAACAAGGTCCCAGACGGGCTGGCAACCTCCAGCCCCTTTATCGTGTACACTCCACTCCTCTGGCCGCCACCAACGATCGCTCCCTCGGGTGTCACTCTCACCATGAGCAATCGAAAGAGAACCACCATCCTCTGGTAAGAAATAGGCAGCTCTGGAGTCAGCAGTCATATTCAAATGGATGGACTGCAACTATGCATTTTCATTGTCTCATTGGATTCATGCGCTTTCCCTTTCCCTTTCATGTGGTCCACTGGCACTACTCTGCGGAAGGGGAGGAATCTCAGCTCATCGGTGAATGCAATGTGCATCTTTGTACGGCACCCAACATCGCAGAATCGGTTAAAGGGGCAGTGCTTTGTCAACCTTTCAGTGCAGGCCAACATGCCAACATGAGTACACAGGAAAATACTAGTAAGTGGAAGTAGATCCATCTTTGGACAGTGAGTGGGAAATGTACACTTGGTGAAAGCCCTCGTTTGGTGAAAAATGGACCTGAAAATTGGCCTGACTTATGCTACACTGCCTACAGATTGGACTTATAGTTGCATCTTCCCTTGCTTGTTTCCTGTGTCCAAGAGCATACTACACTGCTCAACAGACATGCAATGTTCAACCACAGCAAACACTGAGGATGTACCTGGAACGAATTAAGCAGGTTGTCCCTCAGCACCGCGCTTGCACCGCGATACACCTCGATCGAGTGGAAGCCGTAGACCATCACGGCAGGGAGCACCACGACTGTGATGATCAAGAGACCAACTGCAAGGCTCACCAGGACATGACAGTGCGTGCCTCCACCTGATTGCACAAACCAGGATAACACGAATTCAAAACACAACAATGACATCCAATGGAGAAAACTCATGAGACTCATTCATGACTGCACCACGTGGATCATGTTGCAATACAAGACAAAACTTGATTGAAGGTGGCTACAGTCCACATTAATGACACAGTTCCAAGTGCTGTGCCCTTGTTTGGCCCTGGGGGTTCCTTGTCTTATGTATGCCAACTGGGAGTTCTGCACCAAGTTCTTTGTCGGTCACTCTTTGTCGGTCACTCTTTGTCGGTCACTCTTTGTCGGTCACTCTTTGTCAATCACCATACTGAGCCAAGTTAACAAGCAAGGAGAGGCCAAGCTTGTGGTTGTTTCGCTCTTTCTGCCAAGGGTACTCCCAGCACAGTATGTAGTGTAACATGCAGAAACAGGTTTGAGATGGCTCTCCAGTTCAAGATCCCCCCTCATCGTCATCAGCAGATACAACAGCTGGGATAAGGCTGTTTTGGCAAAAGCAGACACAAAATGGGGTCCTTGACATCATTTTTGCTGACATGCACCTGAAAGCCCCAGGGCAACACATCCCAGCGCTCTCTATTCAAATCATGGAAAACAAAAACCCACTACGATTTGCTGTTATTTTCGATATGCCAGGTTCCCCCTGGGTGCTGGGCTTTCTTTGTGGAGGCTGTGCACTCATTTTCATAATATAGTCTATTGGGCGTCACAACACCTTCCCATATCTTTTATGTCAGGACAAGGCTTGCATCTGGGCTATCAATGCAATCAAAACACTTTGGAATAAAAGAATTAACAAAAAATGCAAGTGGTGGAATAAGGGAAGCAATACATGATCCTGACAACAGCTAGCCCACCTGCTACTGCAAATCCACACAGTGTAGCCCACAGGCCGGCGACCAGCGACACATTCCTGGCACAATTGATCCAGTGCACAGTGCATGGGGCCATGAACAAGTTCAACGCAAGCAGTGCCATGTAGCACAACATCGCCACACCCAGCAGCATCCATCTGCAGCCATCCTTCTGGCCAAAGAAGACGAAGCACGTAGCTAGCACGAGTTTCAATGACCCACTGAACGCTGACCAAGTGGATGAGAACATGGGCCGGTCGAAGTCAAGCACCATGAGATCGACGTCAGCCAAGATGGCTGGGTCATGCAAGCTGGCCTGTAAAGAGAATGTCATGTGGTCGTCCTGGGTGAATGCCAGCAAGCTCTGTGAGCGGATGCGCAATTTCTGATCATTTTAGTTTTGCTGTCCAATTGTACACAAAGCAGTGTTGTTGCAGAACATTTTGGCAATACCCATACAGGTACAACGATGATGATTTCCATTGGCATTCTTTCCTGATTGCACTGGCCAAGATTTCATTAATCTGCAACTACGTCATTGCACATCAGGCACACATCGCTGCCTATGGCATGACAACCCATGTCTTGAGTGCACAAATCTATTCGTCGAGAATACATCACTTCCCAGAGCTGGAAGAAAGATGCGAGTCAGGTGCGCCTTAATGCTTATTGCTCTGTAAAGGCATTGACACATCAAATTGATCCACACAAGACGCAAGACATTACTTTATATTGCTGCTTGCAGAACGAAAGGCACATCAGCTTGGAATAGCTCAGATCAATTCCCACAACACTTGATGAACAACAAGAGGGCTAACGCGTGGTCCAACCGTCCCTACAACGCCTTTAGAACATAAATCGATTTATGATTGAAGCAGTACCTGAACGACTGGGCAACAGTATACTAGTAATCATAGCGTCAACAAAAGCACAAATTGGAGCAGCAACGCTTCATTACAAAAGTAAGCACAAGATTAGTGCCACATTTGGGGCCGTGAATGGAAGCATTCTTTGAAAACAACTTACACAGATCAGGAGTTCAGAAGACTCCATACAATGAGTGCCAGGTCTTCTCAGCTTGGACCTGATATTTGGGAAAACGGGCAGTCCAAGTGCACAAGTCCATACTTCACCTTTTGGAAGCATTGTTCTATGATCTTGCCCATGGCCGACCTGGCTGCGCTCCTGTGCTTGCAGGGGCAGCACAATGTGTACAAGGGTAGGTTGTTCCAACAGACCATGCCAAGCTGAAACAACAGCTGTAGCAAGCTCAGGGCAATGAACGTGATGTGTGTGGACTCCTGAAGACAACATAACCACAATCAGCCCATTGAACGTGGCCTGCACATATGAACCTAACCAGCAAGTAACATTACTAGAGTTGTTTCTGGCCCACAGTGTGCTTGGGCCATGTTTAAGAGAACCTGTCTCATGTAACCTATGCTTGTTACAACTCGACACCCGCGATCATGTATGGTTTGCGTTCACAGCACTGTAGGCACTGATGCCTGCCAAATGGCAGTGCCATTCTCTCAGAATCTTAGTTCGCGGACACCTGTAACCAAGGATGACTGACTGATTGTCGATTTCGGGTGACAGTGAATGACAGAACGAACACGCAAACTCCGCAATCACACAAGTCCTGAGAATGACAATTGAAAGCATGTGGTGTCAGCCAAGGCAATCAAACCCACCTGCCAACAACTAACGCCTGACTTGATCGGAAAGCACTGGGGGCAGAAGAATAGCATCAGCAGGGCGGCAAACATAAACAAACACCCAAACTCCTGCATCAGTTCCTGCACCCTTATGTACAGGCCAACTGCAAACTGCACCACCAAGCATACTCCTTTGGAGAAAGCCTTTTGGGCCATAGTATTTTTGCCCCCAACTCTCTTCACCACCCCTGCGATGATGCCCAGGCCAGACGCAAGGCTAGCCAAAAACATTAGCACCAGCATCGGAGAAAGCACGATCCAGATAATGATCTCCATGGTGTCATAGTTGTTGTGAAGGTGTTGTGGGAGGCCATATTGGAGAATCTGCACACAACATCAATCAACAAACCAATGAAGCGATGAATGGAATCAATGAAAACATCGAACAGCCAGTGTATCAGTCAGTCAGCCGAGCAGGCAAGCTGGCAAGTGCTCCTGTTGAGAGCTGTGGCAGCTGGACGCAGGCTTTCAGCCACGAAAACAGAACCTTGTTCAGCCCCGAGACACATAACATCTCGCTTTGGTTCAAGAATGAACAAAACACGGCAGGAAAATGGCGTCGAGCAGGGAGCACTACCTCCCGACTGTTGAATGCATAACCTGAGCTTGGCAAACAACATTTATTGATCTTGACATCCAGAAACAGCATAGAGAAACACAGAAAGTTCTGCCCTAGAGCCGCAATCCCGGGTAGTTGCTCGTGATGATCAGAATGTCAACAGAATGTGCCCAACTTGCTGTTCAAAAGCAAGCAATACGAAAATCCAAATATGTCTTGATTGCCGAACAAGTCGACCCATCCCACCCCTTTGTGATGTTTGTTGAGATTTCACTACAATTTACTCCCGGTGGTGCATAAAATACCACGCTTGTGCAGATGGCACTCCAGCGCGTGGCGCCAGGAATGTCTTTACAAAAAGAAAAAATGGGCAACCCCTGTCTAAACCCAACGCTGTTCTAGTACATCGATCCAGCAATGGCCCATCAAGGCAATGCTCAGTAAACTAACCCCAGTCACAGTATCCTAACTGTAGGGTAGGGGGGTCATCCGCTGAGTCAGGATGGGGCTGAAGCTGTATTGAATCCCTCCAATACATGCTCACTCGAGCAATATCCGATGCGATGCCCGATTTTACCCATTGGTGAGAACATGTCAGCACAGATGATCCTTGCAATAGGTGGGCGCTCTCTGTAAGCATGGATTCATTCAGTCATGCTTCCCACCTTTGGTAATCTGCTGTTGTCCCATCCAACCACAGGGGCAAAGGGCACTGCGATGAATTGCAGCGCCTCTGCCAGAGTTAGGATAATGAGCCAGGTGGTCTGTGCTGCAGGAACAACCCGTGAAGCTCGCTGTGATTCAGCCTGGAAGCAAAACAGCTGGCAGTCACACAGAAGCACGACTGGCAAAATGAAGGCTGCTCAAAACACGATGGTGGTCACTGTTTGCTCAGGAAGCAGGGGAGCATTCGATCTGTTTTGACTGCATCTTCAATGATTGACGATGTCTTGCATCTGCATTGTGATGCTGGGCACTTGTTAGCTAGGCAAAATGTTCCATGGTAAAAATTATAAAGGTAGGGTTTCAAGTTCCTTGACATGTTGAGCCCTGAGCGTCAGAGACTCTGAATAGGAATAAAAAAGGCATTGAGCCAGGGCCTTGAAAAGATCAATGCCTGGCACCATCAGGATGCACCCAACACCATAAGGATCTGTGTAGATTGGGGCAAACCAGTCAGCATCCAACTAGTGCAGAAGCATCTTTCCTTGGCCCATGGTGGTCAGCTTAGTACCCCAAGTCTGATAACAAAGTTACTACAAAGCCTACAGCTACAGCAAGAAGACTAGACCATCAAGATATCATCAGACCAAATTATGTGCTGCAAGGATTGCAACACAATCACCACAAATGAGACGCAGATGCTGACCTTGGCAACAGACCATGCCTGAAGTCAACCAGAAGCCACAAAACCCAAAGTCTGCCTCCAACACGTCCAAAACGAGCCAGCATTGGCAAAGCTTGACAGATAATGGGAGGCTTACCTCCAGATGAGCCCCTATGTCCTCCAGCAGCTGTGGGTCAATAGGATTCAGCCCCCTCTGATGGATGCACCTCAATACTTCATTGACTGCCTGCACCATTACTGAACACAAATTAGTTGCAGCCCAACCATTGCAAACTAGTCCAAAGCCCAAATTCGAACAACTTCCAAAGCATGCAAGTTCTGTAGCTTGCTGCAAGTGAGCGGAGCGATCGGAAATTTGTTTGCAACTTGCCAAGGAATGGCATTGACAGGCATGACATGAACTCGTACCATTGTGCTCTGAGGGCAAATGCACAATGATTCTTGCAGGTAGGAAAAAAAGGCATTCCAATGGGCGCTGCTCAAAGACAAGACTGTCTGAACCCCTGTTCCACTAGCAAAGGGTGCCAACGCCACACAATGCATGAAATGGATGCCTCCAATGAACGGGTTTACTCATTCCCCTGCATATTCCAAGGCGCTGGCACCATTCCAGGTAATACACATAATATAAAAACAGCACAATGGCAATGGCGCGTGCCTCTACTGAATTCAGATCATAAGACAATGGCAATTTTCTGGCGGCGACTGGAGAGACAAAAACAGGAGCTCATGATGGCGATCCAGTAACTTACAATACTGTGAAAATAGACATTTCTTTTTTTTTGTGAGTAGCATATAACATAAACGACGAATCATATTTCACTAAAGCATTCAAAGCAGGGCAGTGGGGGCATGTGCATTTGTTGCAGATTGCAACATTGGGGTTTGTAAAAGGATTTTGGGACATGCCATACATCCCATCCAAATACAATCTTTGTCAGCAAGACTCTTCCCTAGTCCGCACTCCCACTGTGTTTTTGTGGCAAGTCACCCACTACCCACCCACACTTTTCCCTGCACAGAAAAGGAGTCTCTTGCCTGCTGAGGAGTGGGGGTGCACATGCTGTGACATCCCCAAACCTCGAGCATTAATATCAGTCCAACCGTTTTCTCTCTGCTAGCAAGAAACTACTCACATGTGCAGAATTCTAATGGCTACCGTTGCCCAACACACCATACAAGCAAGCCATTTTGACAGATGCAGGACAAACATTACGTACCACAGCGGCGCTATGCACAGCCTTGTCACAACACCAAGGTAGGAAATCCTCCACCTCCTCCTCTTCTTCTTCTCGTTGCACATGACAAAACAATTCCTTGCACATCAATAGGCGATGCTGCACTGTTCACCTGTGTCTTCCTGTCGCTGTCCGCCTCCCGATCAAGGCGGCCCCACCGTCTGTTGAGGTGGATGCTCGCCAGCTGGATGGTCCCAGGCCCCCGAAAGCGCATGCGCACCCATGGGGCCGCGAGGGCGATCAATATGAACGCGCTCACGCCCAGGGAGGCCCCATCAATAGTCATGTGGAATCATCAACGAAATCCGCCAGAGACGTCGAACCGATGGATTGCCAAAACCTACGCAGCATCGAAAACTATGGGGTGAGCTGCGGCGTCGAAGCGCCGGTTGCTTGTTCACCAAAAATATGAAAACCCCTGATGGACGGGAGAGTCTGGCCGCTGAGTGGGAGGGGCGAAACGCCACGCGATGCTACTCAACGACCCTCGGCTAGTGAGGCGGGATTCAGAATGCCTCAGAGGCACTGCCGAAATGGAGATGATTTGGGGCGCCGTCAAGCAAGCCACAGGCGCCCAAGATTCGAAACACCCTGATGGACGGCAGAGTCTGGCCATCGAGCGGGAGGGCCCAAACGTCAAGCCCTAATACTCGACTAGCTCCGCCATTGAGGCCGGATGCAGCGGAGCGCAGCTGGCAATGTCGATGTGGAGACGCTTGAAGGTACCGCAAATAAAGTCGCAAGCCCGAAAGTTTCGGCAAACAGTGATCGGCGACAGAGTTTGGCCTTCGCGCGGGAGGGCGCAAAGGTCAGGCGCGGATGGTTGGCGAGCCTGCGCCAGTAAGGCCGGGCGCAGCGGATTGCCGCGCGTATTGTCGATATGGAGATGCTCGACGGTGCCACAATTCAGGTCACAAGCCCCAAGCATTCAAAGACCCTGATCGGCAGTAAAGTCTGGCCATTTAGCGGGACCAGGAGGGTCGAAACGGCGTGCGCTGATGCTCGACGAGCCTCCGGCGACAGGGCCGCATGCAGCGGGTTGCCGCAGGCATTGTTCGCTGTGGAGGCGCTTAGCGGTGCCGCAGATCAAGTCACATGTCCCAAAGATTCTAAAGCCCCTGATCGGCGGGAGAGCCTGGCCATTGCGCGGTGGGGTTGAAACGTCAAGCGCAGGTACCCGACGAGCCTCCGGAAGTAGGGCCGCATGCAGCGGAATGCCGCACGCATCGTCGACCTGGCGACTTGCTCGACGGTGCCGCAGACCAGGTGGCAAGTCGAGGCGCGCAGCGGGCAAACCGCGACGAGCGAAAGCCGGCCGGCGCGCAGGGCGCAATCAGCTCGCGGAAGCTCTGCTGCGCTGGAGCACGGAAAGTGAGGTGCCGTGCCGAAACAGAAGCAGCCGCCCCGACAGCGACGCAAAACTGCGCGCAGGCCGAAACATTCACCCATCCAAAGAGGGACAGCAGGCGCCGAATAACGCCCCAAACTCGCAGGCTGGATGCCTCGAAACACGGCTTGACGGCTCACACCGCCGACATTGACGACAGCAGTACACCATGGCCACCGGCGCGAAACGACCAAACCCCGACATCCACAAAAATCTCCCCCTCGCAAACATCCTTCAGACCTCGCAGACCCCCGTCCCTTCCGCATCCCCACCCATCCACCCAATCCCGCCCATGCCGCCCCCAACAAGCCGCCCAGCCCGGAGTGCTGATGTTCGGGTGCCGCGAGACCCCGCTCCACAAACCGGCGCCAAACAAGGCTTCACGCACCAAAACACGCCGCTAAGTCGACCACAAGTCACGCGGGCGCAGCGCCCAAGCCCCCACGCGCCCTCCCGTTCCCGCCCCGACAGCCACACCGCAAAGACTCTTGGCGCCGACACCCGGAGCGGGGGGCACCGCGGCGATCGGCGGCCTCTTGGCCGCGCCGCCACCCCCTCGGGCGTAACCAACACCGGCGCCACGCGGTTCGTGTGGCTTGGAAACCCAGCGGTCAACAGCAAGGGCCCCCGCCTGGTGCCGGTGGGGCAAGCGGTGGAGAGAGATATTAGGGAGAGCGCGTTTGAGGGCAACACACGCCAAATTGCCCCGTATTGGGCCCCGACTGATGCCAGGTCTGCCTCCGCACACTGTACCGGACAAACGTAATTGGTGATGCAGTCCTCGGACGCCGCGGATCCATGCAGAAGGGAGGGTGGTTGTGGTGCTGGTGGCAACGGGACCCTGGCGGGCGCCGCGCGGTCGATTCTTGTACGCCAGGGGTTATTCAGCGTACTACAATTCGACTGCTGACCGCGGGGTCGCAGTGCTGCGCCGTTGATCCTGGGGTTGTGGGATTGGGATCCGGGACGCGGGGTCCAAGGCCCCGAATCCGGGCATGCGACTCTGCGTGGATTCGGCGGCACGTACGATTTGGTACAGTGCGGGCAACGTAGGGGCGCGTCATGGACCTGCACGCGCCCATTACGCACGCAAACGCGCCTCGCGGATGTGCGTGGTGTGTCAGCCTACGTCAGGGGGCATGACAGCGGACAGCCAGAGTCGGTGAAGCATGGGTTTAGGGTGGAGAGGAGAAGCAAAGAAGATGCAGTGAAGTCCTTTGCAGCGTGTCCAAAGACGCAGCGGGGCCCGCTTTGCGTTGCCAGAGGCAGTGTCCACGTGAACATGGACTGGTTGGCACGCGGGTGTTGATGGGGCATGAAATTAGTCGCTCTGTCTTTTCCTTGAAGATCTCTTCTTGTTTGGGACCCCCTAAACCCTAAAACACTGACCCACTGACCGGCGTTGGCCTTGCTAGCGGAAGAAGGGATCGTGACGGAAAAGACAGAGGGACTAACATGTTCCCGTGTTGATGGCCAGGACACCGGACAGTGGGCGCTACACAACCTGAACAGCACAGATTTCCCATGCATTGGCCGATTGTGGGAGAGGATGTTGAGGGGATGGTCGGCGGCGGATGCCCAGCGATGATTGGCCTGAAGATATCAAAGCCTGCCTGTCATTTGTACTCGCCTGCCCATCAGCTTACGTTTCGATGATCGCCGCAGTACCCTTGCACGCCCCCTGAAGCAAAGGGGGATTCTGTTTGTGGATTTCAAACATTACATTGCAGCCCATGAGCTGATCAGTGTCCATGTGCCTCTGCATGTATATCTTGCGCAAGATATGTGGGCTTTGTGCAACCTGGCAAGAGAGTTCAAGGCGATGTAAAGCGCCCAAGCTGCCCCAATCCCAAAGAAAGAGAAAAAAGAGAAGTTCCGCAAGCAAAGACGGAAGTAGTGCAGGCGAGAATTTAAGGCGAGTAAGGAGGCGAGGCAGCAGCGACTGGCAATAGCGTTTGGTCGGAGAACTGCAGCGGCACGTGCAGATCGTGTCGAGGGCTTCACGTGTCAGTGCGGACGCCAACGGTTGATGGTGCATTCAACTTGTGGGTTGGGAGAGCCCGTCGCCTAATGCGTCAAGCCCTTGACGTGAAGCGCTTGTGCACCCAAATCAAAGTAGCGCCTTCGCATAGTTTGGGAATTTCAGCCAGTCGTCGCCACAACCCGCTTTGCGTGTGTGACGGGCAGTGATGCGTTTACACATTGGACAATGCAGCGCACAATGCAGCTTGATGGATTACGGTACGCGCCAGCTCGTATGATGATTGTGGATTGACAGGTTCATCTACTTGCAGTTTTTTTACAAATTTGTAAGTGCTACCTGGAGCGCAATCACGTTCCACGCGGCACTCACAAAATTTACAAGAAGACTCTCACGAGCGCGATTGGCAAAGTTTGGCTGGAAGCAACAAACACACGTGTCCAACGCGCTTTCTCCTGGCCAGCTGTGGAAGCCTTATGCGCTGCATTAAGACGGCTCTGTTGCACATACAGCCGGCCAGGCTTAGCTCCAAGGCCCCAGCAACGTCCCGTTGTTGACGGTGTCACAGTTGTTGCGGGTGTGATGTGCGGGGGTGGATGGTGTACTGCGAGACCTCCACCGTAGTGGTCAGTGAATCGGACGCACTTGCAGTGATGTCGTGGCACGTGCCTGAATCGCCGTTCGTCGGGTGTCCATTCCGATGACACATTGGCACATGCCTGATACAGGCGGCCAGCCAGGTGACAGAAAATTGCAGAAGCCCACCAAAGCTTTTGCACGGGGAGCCACGTTTATTGCCTGCGACATGAAAACACTACGAGGGAAGGCCAAATTAATTTAGCCCTCCCTCGTGGTGCTTTCATGTTACAGGTAATATTGGCGTGCTAGTGACAGAGCTAAATGCTCACCGGCCCAGAATGGATGCGCAGAAGAGGGATCAGTGATGGGCGGACTGGGTCACGACAGTTGATCAGTGTGTGGGCGAAATGCAGCATTGCTGCAGCCACGTTGTACAATTGTAAGGCTTGTCGGGTTTTAAAATATGAATATGTACTGACACAGATATGCAAAGACTAATGCGCTGTTTGCGGGTGGCTGTGGAGTCCGGAGTCCACATCCGGAGGCAAAAAAGCTGCTTTGGCTGTACATAGCTGCACTTGTGCTGAGTCCACGGAAAGACCACTGCAGTTTAGAAGTGGGCAGTCGTGCCCCGTTTGTTGAGGGATGGCTGCAAGTTCCATTCTTTGGGCGGTCAGGTCAATGCAAAACCGTTCAACAGAAAAGCTTCGCTCAAAAAAACTCAATCAAGGAAAGAAAAACAAGCGGATCCACGGATCTTTCCCATACTGGGATGGCGCCACCCATCCAAGTACGCGACATGACACATGCATGCACGCATGCCCAGAAAAACTGCAGGCAGACAGTGCTTTATCAAAGACGATACTTCATGACGAGGAAAAACAAAGTGGATCTTCAAGTGTCCCCTGCTACATCACGAATGGCTGCATGCCTAAGCATATGCCCCCCCTTGTGACGGTGGTCCTCCGCCTCGTCCCCTGCTTGGGGCGACAACACGTACCTCCGCAAATGAAAATACACCACCTGCGCAGCCTCCTCCTTTCTAAAACCCAGTTTCCTATACAACCGCAATTTTTTAATCCCTTTGTTATCACATTTTAGTAGTAGTTTTTGTGTGTTGTGGTTTAATGCATTACTGGCGTGGAAAGACGGGGGAAGGTGCCGAACGACTTGGCGAGTGCTAATGCCTGCGCCCACAGCACGGGGAGCCCCTGCCCAGCCGCCTCCCCGTTGTAGGTCGCTCAGGCTGACGTGGCAGTGACGTGGCCGTCAGCTTTTTGGCTTTTAGTGTTAGGTTTTTAGGTTTTGGGTCTGAGTTTTGAAGGTTAGTTTAGGGCTTAGGTTGTTGGTTTGAGGTTTCAGGGGTGGTTGTTTAGGATTACCCTGAAGCGAACCTAAAAACAGGACCGCCAACGTCACTGCCACGTCAGTTTTCAGCGACACGAGAAGTGGGGACCCAGCCGCTGCCGCCTATGGGCAACAGACACCGCGGAAGGCAGCAGCTGTGCCTTGTCCACGACCGCGCCTGTGCTGACGGTCCCGAGCTACAGACCGTCCATGAGGCCGGGGGGGCGCATTTGGCATGTTCTTCCTGAGCACCTTGGAGGAGAGCATTCGATTGGAGCCGAAGGACCTGGACAAGCCGCGGGCTGACGCCATCTCCCTCGTGATCGAGGAGCTCTTCGTTGACAAGGTAGGCGCCAAGCGAGAGGGCATGAGCTCTATTTGCTGTTGTTTGCGCTCCGCGAAGTATGTGTATGCGCTCTGTATGCCCAACATTCGCCATCGCCACTTGCCCATTTTGAAACTTCTCTGGCCTGAACCCAACCCTGGCCTCTATGCCAGAGTTGTTTCCTGGGATAATGTGGATCGCAGGGATGGGAACGTGGCCGTTCCCTCGAAATGCCAGGTTGGATGATTGGCTGCGATCTGGCAATTTTGAATGCCCTTTGCAGAGCAGGTCCAGCAAATGTGTCACACTTATGTGTGGGTATCAAGGTATTTTGTTTGCCAACCATATTGAGGTAGTTCAGAAGCATGAGAGAAACTGATGCACCATGAAATTCTGAATTTTGTTGGTACAACAGGCATACAATGGCCAGAGTGCCATTCTCTGTGTTGTATTGGGCAACATACATGGGTTGCAATGGGTTGGGCTGATTCACCCAACCCATGTGCCCGCTTCCTGTTACTCTCAGAAACTGCACCATTTTGTTATGCTGTAAAGAAAATTGTCACAAACTTCTTTCACAGGATTGAGATGCCCAGTGTTGGAAATATTTGGCTTGCTGAAGATTGCATGCACACTGCTGTTTGGCCGTTGTCCAGATTGTGCAGGACCTTGGCCTCGTGGTTACGCTGTATGACATCGTGAGCATCGCCAGCGGGTTTGTGCACCACAGTGATGGGGGTCCAAGGTTCCAGGTTGTGTTTCGCGTGGTGGTGTTCCGACCATTTGCAGGCGAGGTGATAGTGGGGAAGATAAAGAGAGTGTCACGGTAGGTTTAAACCATGCATGTACACGAACACACACCCTTTGCTGGCAAAACATGTATACGAATAGTACTACTACCAAAATCTGCTGAGTACAACCAAGTATTACTAATTACAGTGCCTTCTACCGTGTCCGCCCAATACGATATTCCGCTTTTCTGTTTGTGTTGTGGCGATTTCCGCATCGACGGCTGTTCCAGAGATGTAAGGACAACTGCTGAACAAATGTGTCGAATACGTTTTGCATGAAGATGAGAAGCTGGTCACAGATTGGTATCTTCCACACTGAGGTCATTAGACAGAGTCAGCGTCTTGAATGATTTACAACCACACAATGCTGGGCAGTAGGAAAACTGCCCATCAAAAGAGCACACAGGGCACACAGGCCAACACATGGCCAAACAGACCTTAGCCACATAAGTAGAAGTGTAAGTCATTGCCAAGCATGGGTTCCACCTCTTGAACAAGAACGGTGCATTGAGACTGTTGTTCACACTGTGGAGCATGGTAATTCCAGGGAATGCATTTTATGAATTGACATGATAAATACAGGGCTCGCACCTTGCAAGCGATGATGGGTGCAGTAAAGTCCAATCACCATGTGGTCATTGTCACCAGAATATAACTCCACACACTGCCCATGCATATTGTGAGGGACGATGGAGAACTTTTGCAGTGCTATCAAAGCCCATGTCATTGCAAGCAAGCCAAAGGCAAGCAGAGCTGTATTTCCAGAGTGGGAAGCATATGTGACAATTGTTCTGGAGAGGAGGCTGAATGCTAGATGGACTCAATCTATGACTGTCACTGTTGCTGTGTGGCAGGCGACAGTAGAATATACTCAAGTTCAGTGTGTATTTGTGTTGATCAGCCACAGTATTTGTCATTCGACACCAAGTGACAAAGCATCAACCTTGCACTTTCAGCCAGGATGACAGACACCATTCCATCTGTAGTATTTGCTCTAAGATTTTGCTCATCACCGCTTGGAACATCAGGGAAATTTGGAAAGCTCAGAAAATGGAAATGAACTAGACAGTCTCCTGCCAAATATTCTCCAATGAATTGGAATATTCCCACACAGCTTCTTGTCCCACTTCAACAGATTCTCCCCCCCCTTTCCGATAGGCCATCGACGACAACCTTTTGTTGAACAATGGGAGCCAAACATTCCTGGATGCGCACAATGGTTGGGTATTCCGCACCTAAGCTTTGCCATATCTTGGTTTGCAGAAGGCATAACACCGCCGCCTGTTGCATGCCCCAGCAATGCACTACAATGCACGCAAGATACAAGACCGTCTGCTTTACTTTATCGTTGGTTCTTTGTCATGCCACTATGTTTTAATGCCCACTGTCCACATGGAAGTTGCCAATTACTCAATTCTTTTGCTGAAATCCAGGTAGCTTAGAATTTATTTAGTAAGAACGATGACTTGGGGGCTTCAGGTGCACAACTGCTGAAGGCACTTGAGCAGCTGGGTAACATTTTGGTAAGTGTTGGGTGAGTAATTGGATGCCAACTTCCCTTTGGAATGGCAGGGCTGGCCTGCACGTGAGCCTGGGGTTCTTCGATGATGTAATCATTCCAGAGCACTACCTCCAGGAGGAGTCCATGTTCGACGAAGCAGAGCAACTGTGGTTCTGGAAGTACGTGGGAGAGGACGGGCAGGAAAACAAACTGTACATGGAGCTCGATGAGGACATACGGTTCAAGTCAAAGGCGGTCAGATTCCAAGCCATCCCGACGCCAGAAGAACTCAGGAAGGCGCGAGGTGGGGGAAATGGAGTCCTCTTTTGAATGAACAGATACCTGTAAGCACGATGCATAATGAGCATATTCAGGCTAAACTGTGAGGTGTAGGTGAGAAGCATGTACGCATTGGTGTACCTATTAGGCATGGGGAATTTGTGTTTGCGCTGTCTGAAGTGCTGTATTGATTTGGTGAATGGGTGTGTCTTTGCAAGCAACTTGTCAGAACGCACTGGTCATGCCATGCGCACCTGGTTCGAGGCGCATTCAACCCACAGTGCACATTCCACTGTAGGGCGTGCTGATTGCCGCAAAATGGCCACAAGATGGCGAATCTTGGCCCGTTTGGCAGAGGCCAGATTTCTTCTTTCCCGTTTTGAAGTTTATCTGTCCATTCTATCTGACCGATGCATTGGTGTACAAAATCAGTCACTGTTGTGCAAAAACAATTCAGCATTTATGCTCGATTTTATTGTGTGCTGCTGATTGTCAGGAATGCTTTTATTATCAGCGTTTCGAAGGCATGCGACTCCACTGGCAGAATGACGCCCATTTCACACATTTTCTGGCTGCGCTCAATCATCTTACCCAGCTGAAAATTGCACATTGGTGATGCCAATCGTGGCATCGTGACCGTGTGTTGGATGCAAATTTTCATCGTTGTTAAAGTCGAGATTGTAAGGGGCCGATCTCAACGTGCCTGTACACTGTGCTCTTGTTCACGCACTGATGAACCGCGATGCGACACTTTGGCGGACTTGGTGTCGCTACACAGGGAATGTAAGCAATACAACTTTCGATGGCTGTGAAGTAACCTTTACCTTTTGCCTTTACTTTATGTATATGGAGCGGCCTGTCAATTGTGCGTGAAGGTACCTTTACGAATTACGTGAACGGTACTTCTTTTCGATCGACTGTTAAGTTCAATTCACAAATTGTGCCCCTTGCCTGTGCACGGAAGAACCCCTCTTTGGTCCTGCGGCTCCCCAGGGGAAGATTTACCCATTTGACGCAGTTGCTGATAATGTACACATCGTGTTGAATGGCTGAGATTCGTGCATTAGCAATGCACAACGTGTTCGACTGGACCGCATCATTTGACCTTAACCATGCACTGGGTATTTGGTGCTGGCCAAACAAAATGGCCATTGCACGCAATTTGATTTCTTGTTCCAGTCCTGCTATGTTGATGGAAGTCGTTTACTGTTGGCGGAAACCTCGTCAAAAATGGACAAGAATCATGGTATCTTCGCCGCTTTTCTGATGCCATTTGTCGCGTTTTGGACAATGCTCCTTGTCTGTGCAGAGAAGGACCCGCTGATCGGCACCGCGGAGAAGCCCCTGGCGCTGATGGAGGTCATCGGGGAGGTCTACAGCGAGGGGCTTGGCCCGGTGGCCTGGTGGATGGATGATGATGAGGAAAACGAACAGATGCCGTCTTGATACACGGCGCTGGGTTTTTGTCGGGTTTATGCCGGAAGCAGGCATGGCCGCGGGCTTGGAGACACACCTGAGGGAACAGAGTTACAGAGATGTCAATAACAGGCACGCCCCTTTATACTCAAGCAACCATCCGTTAGTTTACATTCTTGTGTAATACATTGGAATTCAAAAAAAGAAACATCCGTCGATCATGGACCAGTCGCTGCCGTATCAGCGGGACTCTCATGTCTCATGACTCCCATGCCTGCATGTGGCCCAACCCACACACGCATCAGCTTCCGCCATCAAGGCCCTGGCGCGAGTCGCAGGTGCGCGCCGCGGTAATGCTGATGTGGCCCGCGGTGGCAAAGATGGTCCCATTTTGCCGTTCAAAGGCAATTCAAGCAAAGGAATTCAGACGTCGATCGCGGCGATGATCAAAGCTGCGTGCGAGGATGGGTCAGACATCGTTCCTTAGTCGCAGCGCGGCCCCTCGGTGGCCATGAACTTACACGAGTGAGAAATCAACCCAATACGCAGTTTTGAACCGTGTAAAAATCGTGTAAAACCGTGTCAAAACGTGTAAAAGTCATGTACACTCACTCAATCTTTACTACGCGGATTGGTCCCATTAAAATGTATACGATAAATGCCCGATTAAACACGATTTTCAATCCCCTTGCACGGTACACAGTTTTCAAAAATGTGTAACTGGGTTTTTTTTACAAGTGTTATCCTGATCGGGTTTTCCCCAAGCCACGTGGAAGATGGGACCGTAGTCGAATTCCTTAAAGCAAGAACACTTATGCCAATCCAAGTCCAGCGTCTGACAACAGTTGAGCGCGACAGGGGCTGAAGGAGGGGAGCGGGTGGTGGGCCCGGGTGCCTTTCCCTAAGATCTCCTCCGAGCAACGCAATGCTGTGTACGTTAATGTACATTAATGTACGAGTTTGAGGGGACTTCGAGCGCCACGCTCTTTCACGCTGTGAGCTCGCCTCGAGTGGCAATGGGTAGCAGTGGAATAAGATCGGTCTGACCTGCACTGTGGGGGAAATGCTTGTTACAAAAAGCGAAAGAAACAGGCCACACAATGGGCAACCCCTCCTGAGCAAATGAATGTGAGACTCTTTTCCATGCTGTGGAAAGGCGGTGCAGAGCCGGTGCACTGTGGGATGGGCACGATTAGGAGTTTTCGAGGTCAAGTGATCTGCACGCTGACGGATGTGAAGGTTTTGGGGACAGGGTATTTTGGGGCTTCATGATACCCATGATTGATTCGGTGGTGGATATTCTTGCCAAAAGATAAGGCCGTCGGTAAAAGTTGGTCTCGAGCACAGAAGTCAGTAACATACAATTCGCTCAAGTTTAATTTGCACCTTATGTTCTTGTTTGGTGGGTCTCCTCTCTGCCTGACACAAACACTCTCCAGGTGTGCAGCTTTCTCATCAATGTTCCATAGGACATGTGCCCGCGACCGTCAAACTAAACTTACTCTTAGCTCCATGATAAACAGGAAAACGAAATCACCAGCCTTTTGCATTTCCCATTGTCCTTATACCGGATTCAACATCCATGTGATGAGCGGGTGAGCGGAAAACAAGTTGTTGCTGGTGGTCTTGCGGCCATACTTTAGGTGGGAGGCTGCCCAGTGGACGAGAGCAGCGAAGAGTCCCCGTTCGAGCTCGAGCCTTGGCTTGCTTTGAAACTTGTGCCAAGAACCCTTCGACGTCTTGGACCATGTCCAACAGCAGCAGGTGGACCAGAGGTCTTCGTGGCAAGTTGGACAACTTGCCATGAAATGGGGCATCCAGAAACGTATTCGCCTGCCACTACCGCCCAGAGTGCCTAGCGCATCCAAAGCACCCATCCACGTCTCCCTAATCAGAAACACATTAATCGATGGTTGTCGAGGGTCAGACGTGACTAATGTACATCAACAAAAACATACCTGTCATGCATCGGCATGATGATTATGGCACGCCCTGTGCTAGAACAGCATCATACGATGTTGGTAACATTTGGGCACAGACAGACTTCGCCCCTCGTGAAGTGACTGCAGTCTTCAAAGCGAAAATGGACGCAACGTTTCTCGATGGGAGGCCGTCCTCCAATTCGTGATCGATCCTTCATCAAGCTGTGATGGAACAACCCCATCCGCCAGCCCAAGATTCCCGACCAGAACCAGAACGAGGCCTGCAGCACTGGCGACCGGCCCACCCGAGTCCCCCACCACGCAAACTTTCCCAACTCGCCCCAAGCCGTCTCCAAGACGATTTCAAACGGTCGCAAAACAGTTTGTGAAATCTTAGGGTTTGGGATCTGTAAAGCAGATCGGCCAACACAGCCGATGGCCTCCACCTCATGTAAAGCCAAACGCACAGACCGCCATCCCGAAACCTTCTGCATGACAACTACAAACTGTCTCAAAACAGTCGTGGGAAGCCTGGAGCTTTGGAGCTGCAAATAGATCGACCAACACCGTCCAAGGCCGCCTCGTTTACCTAAAGCCAAGCGCCTAGACCCCCCCCACCTTCCCCCCCCAATTGCCACCCGGCGGGCTCCCCTCCCCTCCCCAGACCCCAAAACGCCCAAGTTGTGGGCTCCCGCGCCCCCAACAAATCATCGATTTTTCTGGGCAGACCATCCCCGCAACAACACAAGCTCCCTTTCTCCGATCCGCCGGCCACGGAGCGGCCCCTGCCTGCCGCGGGCCAGCCGCAGCCGCCGCGCGGCCCAACTGCCCTGCCGCGCCTCGGAGGAGCGCCCGCGCCAAGCCGGTGAGCAAATACCCTACCCCCCATGCATCCCCCCCACACCACCTTCCCCGTTCGCAGTTGGGGCCCAACCGATGATCGGCTCCCAGCGCCTCGAATGAGATTTTCCGCAGGCAGCCCTCGCGCCGGCGTTGCTTCCTGGAGGCGCGTCCCTTGAAAGGATTCCGTTGAGTGCGTCGCCCACCCGCCCACCCCTTCCCTTTGAGCTCGTCCCTGCCCATCCCCTATCCCCCCCCGCCCCCCCCCGCCCTCCTGATACTCTCCCCGGCCTACAGGCAGCCGATTGCGCTCGCCAGGCCGCCTCGGGCGGCCGATGGCCGGGCCTGCGGGTTTGGCAGCGGAGAACCGCGGCGCCTCAACTGGCGCAGGGGTTTGGATTGTGCGTCGCCCCACTGTCGTTGCTGACAAGCTCGCCGCTCGTCCCGGCCATGGACACTTGGGCTGGGAGCGGTTAGCGCCTGGGGTGGGTTTGCAGCGGCTGGGCATGGGTTGGCCAGCGGCGCAGTTGGATGTGGCCACAGGTCTGACGCCTGGACCGGGGTGCGCTGCCTTCCCTGACTAATTGTGGAGGGCAGGCTGCCGGTCGCTGTGCCCCGGTTGCCGCGCTGACAGCCCCTTAGGCCGCGCCGATAGCCCCCTAGGCCGCGCCCCATGTCTGTGCGGAGTGCCAAGCGCTCAGGTTGGGATGATGGCCGGCCATTGGGGTGCCTGTTGTGCCTATCTTGCGGCAATTGAGGCCATGGCGTTGGGGATAATGGGGTGTGATGCCGACCTGTGTGGCCCTGCAGCGCTGAAGCGGGTTTGCCGTGCACGGGTGGCGCCAATAAGCCATGGGGTCCAGCCCCAGGGACTCCGATGCGGAGATGGAAGCCATGGAGGAGTTTACTGATCCAGCCGACAGCCCAAGGGGCCCGCTCTTGGACACCACGGCCAAGGACGTCGCCGCAGGAAAGGACATCCAGGGGATACCCTGGGACAGGCTGAACTTCACGCGGGAGGAGTACCGCAGCAACCGGCTGAAGGAGTTCAGGAACTACACCAATGTGCTCAACAACGAGGGGCAGGAATACGCGGACTACCTCGCCTCCCTGGAGCTGGAGTGCAAGGCCCCCAAGAAGCAGTCAGTGTTCTTCGAGTTCCTGCGCAACTCCCACAACGTGGTGTCCTCCATAACGCACTTCCAGCTCAGGAACCTGCTCTGGGCGACCTCCAAGCACGACGTGTTCCTGATGGCGGACAACTGCGTGAACCACTGGGACCTGTTGTCTATCAAGTCCCCCGGCTATGAGCCCACCCAAGTGATGAACCTCAGGGGGGGGATCGTGTCCAGCAGGGCTTCCAGGCTTGGCCTCGTGAACATCAGCACCATATGGGCGGGGAATGGGCTGGTTGTTGCAGGGGGCTTCAATGGCCAGATCGCCGTTCAGAGGCTGTGCGACAGTGGGCTTGCGTATGAGGGATACATTACCCAGAGTGACAACTCCATCACAAACGCGATAGAGGTCTTTCACGAGGGTGGCGAGGGCACGGAGCCCAAGGTGCTTTCGTCGAACAATGACAGCTCAGTGCGGGTGTTGAACATGGAGACGTGGGATGTGGAGGCCCACTTCCCCTTCGAGTGGGCAGTGAACTATGCGACCATGTGCCCTCAGGACAAGAAGCTGGTGGGCGTCGTGGGGGATGACCCCGAGGGTTACATCATGGACAGAACATCTGGCGCCCGAGTCGCTAAGCTCACAGGCCACAGGGATTACTCATTTGCTGCTGCTTGGATGCCGAATTCCATGGTGCTTGCCACTGGGAACCAGGACTTGACGACGAGGCTGTGGGACATGAGGAAACCGGAGGAGCCGATGTTGGTTCTGCGTGGGAAGATGGGCGCCATTCGATCGGTGCGATTCTCGTCTGATGGGAGGTACCTGGCCATGGCAGAGCCCGCAGATTTTGTACACGTGTTTGATGTGACCAAAGGCTACCAGGAGTGTCAGGAGATTGACCTTTTTGGGGAAATCTCTGGGATTTCTTTCACACCCGATGCTGACATGTTGTTCGTTGGGATTGTGGACGAGACATATGGGAGCATGGTCCAGTACAGAAGAAAGGCAGCCATTGATGCTGCTTGGTAGCGCAACGCAGGGAGGTTTCTGGTGCTCGAGGCATGGCTTTGCGTGGATGTTGGTTTGCTGTACATAGAAAGGCACTCTCGGCAGTGGGCTTCGCATGGCAGGCCATGGCAGCATTGGGTTACAGCACTCATGCAGCACAGCAGTGGGTTGAGCGGGCTTGGAAAACTCGTCAACATCGGGAAGGGTGTGCAGGGCATGGTGTATCTCAACATTCTGGACTCATCAAGGCATCCAGCTGCGACTGAGGCGTTGGAATGGACATCGCCTGCGCGCTGAGGACAGGAGGGAAGTGCCTTAAGGGGGTCCTGGATGGGCAAGTGGGTGATGGATGTAGGTAATGGAAGCCCGGGTTGCCGGCGCCCCGCGGGCGTCGTCGGCACCCCCCGAAGGGTGCTGAGCACCTGTTGCCTGCCTTAATGTACAACAGATAGCGTTCCTGTTTTTAGCGGATGTGGTGCACCCCAATTTCGAATTGGAGGGACCCCAGCAGCTGTAGATTAGAAATTGAAGTGGGTTCGGTTCAAGTGGCTCCAGGGCTGTGCATTGGCCACGGGCTTCCTCAAGCACGCGCTCTGATCAATAATGTCTGTTAACATTTTGTAAGCTTCGTCAGCCATGGTGCGGGACGGCCGGGTGCTTCTCTTGTTGTTTGGCCCCTCCACCCAATTGCTATTGGCTCAACATGAAGCAGAACCGTACCGCCATCCGGAGAGTTGGAGTGCCATGTGTCTGCTTTGCCATTGACATCGTCCACGGTGTACCTCGTAGGAGACAAAGGTGTGAACCGTGGACACGGTGTGCCCCAACCAAAATGCAAAACGGTGTCTGAAGGCCGCAACCAGGTACACGCATGAGGGTTGGCGCATTGCATGTGAATACCGTCTGGCAATATTTTGTAAGCTGAACAGCGAATGGACCAGTGAACGTGATACGTCACAGCAATCAGGAAGTTCATCAAATTGCATTCGAATGTTGCCCCAAACAAGCCTTTGGAGCACGTCATTGAGCGCCGAAAAGTTTTAGCAGCCACATGGACAAGACGTCGCCCCTCCACCGTCCGTTTCCCCAGCGTTTGGTGCATTTCACTTGTGTTGTTCCATTTTCGTTTCGCACAATTGTTTACATTCAATTGGCGCATTTTCGTTGAAGGCATTTTCTGTGAAGTTGGGTTTACAGAGACATAGCTTGGGGGCCCGCATCGGGTAAAGGGATTGCGACTCTTCTTGCTGCGCTCACATGCCCACAGCTCATCGCTGCAGCGCGCAGAGGAGTTTGCAGGAATTACGAAGATACTCCGTGGAAATAATTGTTCGTATTTTATCTACGGACTAGAATACGAGGAGGAAAGATTGTCATGAGAAACAGCATGCAAGCATGTTCTTCAGTCCGGGCAGGCTTGGTTTTTACGCCGTAAAAACTGATCGTATTTACGTTTTTACGCGTAAAAATGCGTAAGAATACGTAAATACAACGTAAAAATTGCACGGTGTACATAAGGACAGTACATACAGACTTGCGGAGTCCGGAGAGTGGCAGCCAGACGCCCTGGAAAGGGCAGAAAACGAGTTTTTGTTAAACGCCATCATCGCCCTTGCCAAGGGCAATGCAGACATTGTGCTGCGGGTGCTGGAGATGGCGGAGCACTGATCATTGTACGCAACTTTCATCGTGTAACCTAGGTGTCGCAGGGACCCGTAAAAACGTAAAAATAGCCGTAAAAATAGGCCATTTTGCAAATTTACGTTTTTACGCGTAAAAACGTAAAAGTAAAAACGCAAACGTAAACGTAAAAACCAAGCCTGAGTCCGGGGATCCCCATTGTATGATATCTTGTATTTCTCTTCAAGAATCCCCAGCGAGCCAAATCTGTTTCTTTCTGCTATATTTCATTTTTGGTTGTTTTTATTGCACTATATTGCATCACAATAAACTGCTGCTGATCTGGTAATTAGTACCGATCCAATACTTTGGCAGCACAACCAGCAGCATGTGTTGCCAATATTGTGTTGAGAGTGGCTACTCTTGGTGCGTGCGTCTTGCCGAGATGCAGCCCAACCTTGCAAAGCACAGCCGCTTTGGTTGCATGTTCTTCATATTACATTTTTATTGATGAAACAGCAATTTCAATTGTTCAATGTGATGTAAACTACATGCACCGCCTTTTCGCCCAGTGAGCGATGCCGGTGGCTGCTCCCACCTACACCTGGTTTCTTGTATCCTGGATTCCAACAAAAGAAACACTCACAGTCTCTTCTTCCCAAGTCACGTTCTATATTCCCCTTCACTGTGCAGTCCTCAGAGGAGATGCCACTGGTGCAAGGGAATGAAATGGACTGGTGTTGAGCCTTCACAGTGCCGCTGTGGGTGCAGCGCCGGGCGCTTTATGTCCACTTTGGCACCCTCCAGCTATGCATCCTTCCGGGCAACATTTCCATGGTCTCGTGCTGCAGGTCAAAGCGGTGCGACCTGTCATTCTGCGCTAGGAGTGCACCAGGTTGAAGGGCGCAACTCGCGCATCAAATTCTTCTTCTGGCTGCCCTTTCTCGTCGATGGTTGTCATCTGCAGTGATGCGCACTCAGGCAATAATCAGGGAGACCAACAGAGACACAACAACAACGCAGAACACATAGCATCACGAACTTTAATATGCAAGCGCCGTTGCAACGAATCATCTATTGATTGATTGAGTAATCGATTGGTTGGTTGGTCAACTGATAGATTCACTTATCAAAACACTAACCGATAGATTGACGCAAAACACACAGCGACAATGGCTGCTGAGCTGCATTCACGCAGGACACTGATCCTCTGTCGTTGGATGTACACATAGAGCACAATCACATCTAATAATTAGTAAATAGAAACCGCTGCTTCCTAAACAAGCAAAACAAAAACGTACTTCGTCCCAAACCAATCGTCCTCTATGACTATGGCACCTTCTTCTCTATCGCACAGACTTTAATTTCCATCTAAATTTTGTCCAAAGTCGCGCATGTGAGTTTGGAGTGTACGGACGAAGAATCAAGTAAATACATGAAGTACTGTGGATTTGACAGCACGTTGTAGCAAGGGCCCTCGGCCAGAAACCCTCGGCTTCTAAACGTCGTGTGGATGATGGCCGTTCTTCACGACGGGATGTAGCACGACTTGACGATGGATCAACACAGCCGCCCCTCGCCACAAACGGCGGCAACTACTTTGGCACACCTTGGACGGGAGCGACTAGTAATAGTGCTGATCTCCAGCAGACGCAGAATCAGGATGCACATTTTTCGACAAATCTTGGGCCACTTCGAGGGCTCTCAGAAGGTGCGGGGCTCACTTTTGTCCAGAATTGACAGCCAAGGGTTTTGCGACCCAGTCTCCCCGATTCTGAGCTGCTCTTGAGTTCAGAGGCCGTTTTTCACAACGAAATTTGGCTATCAAATAGAGGACAGTTAATTGGGGACGGAGGAAGTACAAATGTTAAATACAACTTCATTCAGGAAGTAAAATAGTTAGTAAATAGTTAGATGTACAATATGTAAAGTAGCAAACAATTAGCTACATGCATTAACAAAACACACTGACTCTGCAGCTTGAGCGAAAGCTCAGCGGATCTAATTCACTGAAAGGCAAAAGGTCATGGGATTGCGCCTTTAAGCGTAGCCAGGTGAAGCACTGAGGACACTTGAGGCACTGGAGGCCCCTTTCTGCGCATATCGATCCTTAGTGGTGTGGGTGGGGAGGGCGCAAGGGACACAGACGCTCCTGCTGCCGCTGCTGCTGCAGAGACTAAGCGAGCGCCGCCATGTGCAGATTCATGCATGCAGGCAAGAAGAAACAAAAAACATATGGCTGATGCATGATACAAAAGAAACACAAGCAGCTTCATACCTTCGACAAAGGGCACTGTCCCTATTAACACCAGCAGTATAGGACTTATGTTGCATCTGGCGGTGCAGATGTTTCTGGATGTGTCTACGCATACCACATAGAGAGTGGACATATCAGCTACACTGCCCACTGTGATGGTGGTAGCCCTGTCCGTTTCGTTGCAGGTGCTTGGAGCTAATTTTCTCCTTTCCAGACTTGTTGAATATCGAGCCAGGATGTATTCACGGACGTTCTTGAACAACTGACATCTGCTGCAGTTGCATCAGCCATCGCCTCGCTGGTGCAGGGCCACTGTTTTCGAATGTTTGGGAGAGTGCCACCATAGTCCCTTGACTCACAGAAGTGAGTGTCATGTGTTTCCCCGTGGCGCTGGAGACCTCCGCATCACATTGTATATCATGGCCTAGAAGGTCTCACAGACTTCCTAACTAAGAGGAGTTGCCTGATGTATGACCAGCCTTCCCACTGTTCACCAACTTTGCAACCTCGAC